TTTTGCCACCTGTCCCCGCGGATAGCAGAATGGCACGTGCGTGGGTCGAATCTTTAAAAGCCCTTTGGCAGTCCTGGAAAGAAAGTGCCACCTGAAAAAGGCAAATTTCACCTGAGTATAAAAACAGACATGACAAAAATTATACCTGCATGTGGGTCCGGTGAAGACCTTCGTTTTCAAGGGACCTCATGAAAAATGTGTTTTTGGCGCGGGGAGTGTCCTGTTCTCAAGACAGGAAGCCAGCCATTCGGTGGTTTCTGGGGCTTAAGGGCAAGGTTCTCAAACCTTCTGTTGCTATCTTCGGAATGGTCCGACGGTCCCAAAGGGCCGCCCTTTCGACGAGCCCAATGAATTGCGGAGGTGACACACGTACAACTGAAGCTGCGATCCGAAAAGGTCACGCATGGAAAGAGGGTCAGTACGATCTGCTTGTCAAGCCAGACCGACCATACAATTGGCAAACAGCATGTCAAAGCCCTATATTGTGGAAGGCTGTCCTCAAAGGGAATCTGGAGCCTACAAACCGCAGATTTGCTTACAGTTCCTGAAGGCGGCGAAACATGGCATCACGTTTCTAAAAGCGGTCAAAAAATGGTTCCATTCTCTGTTAGCACTCTAAGCATGGCTCATCTCTGCGAACCGTTGTGTGGCTTTTTGAGCGCTTTCAGGGACATCCAAGCAGTTGCTCACTTCCTGGGTGGATTGCTCTGAAAAGTAAACAAATTATTGTTTACCACTAAACAATGTCTTGCGAAATAGCCATCAGTTTCTCATTCTCTCACCTCCAACAGTCAACCAGAAATGGTTCCCCCGCCCCAAAGAACGGCAAACAACAAACAGACTAGAGACTGTCAATGTCGGTTTCGGACGGACCCCACTAGTGCGCCACCTGTGCAGCGGCATGCTCCTTCAACGTGTATAAACCTTTTGTCGGCCGGAGAATCATTCACCCGCAAGGGAGACAAAATTGAGAGAAAAAGCCCTCAAGGTTTGACACACGGAGAACCCAACGCTTTTTCCGGGAAACTTGGCCCAGCCATTCGCTTTTCCCGCTTCGGGCACGAAGCAACCCCCAGATTCGTGGAGCCATGAGCATGGCTCACCTTTTTCTACAACACCAGCAAAATGCCCATCCAACGAGTGAGTATCGCTTTGCAGGGCTCACAGAACATGCCGAGGACCAAAGATTTTCCACGTGGGTGTGTCTTTTAGAGGGCCCAACATCCAACATGGCTTCGGTTCTCCTCTTGGCTTCCCTGGACCCCTGACCGAGCCCTTGAGCCAAGGCCCAAAGGTTCCCGAGGCCTGTCACTGCCTCCGTGCCACCATAACCTGGCGCTAGGTCGAGGTTCGTTTGGGGAGATGGTGTTGTTCAATCCCTGCAACTTTCTTCCATGACCCCGGATTCATAAATCCGGTGCTACAGGGTGAATGGCTCCTCCAAACGTGATGAAGCCCCACTCAACCCAGAGACAACCCCCCCCCCGGACCGAGAAACTCGTCCGACTGGGGGAAAATACGTGGATAAACCAGTTGAGCTGGGCGGCTAGGGATGTCAGCCCTTGCTCGCAAGGGATTCATCCTTTCCAAGTTGAGAGGTGGGCTCCTCCGAAATCGGAAGCTGAAGGGAATGCAATGGGGGGGGGCTGGCTTTGCTGAGTCGGACGATCTTCTGGCCCAACCCAACAACCCAACCCACCCAACCAACCCAACTAACCCAACCGTTGACCCTCTTTAAAAGATCTATTTGCTTATTTGTTGCTAGCGAGTAGGAAAACATTCCCCTAAAGGTTACAGTTCCTTCCACTCACATCCTGTGGGAGGGTTGAAGGGACCCTCCCCCCTGTCGGGTGCCATGTTAGTGGAAGAAACATCAAGGCCTCTTAACTTAGAAGGGGAACCCACACACACACACACACAAACACACACGCCAAAACGGCACAAGAGGGGTACCACGAACAAGCTCAAGAAGAAGTCACTTCATATTTTTTGCTGAAAGGGACGCGGGGTGGGAGAATATGCTTGCATGATATTGAATCCCTGCTGTGTTGAGATGATGCTTCCACGTTGCGAGTAACTTGTTTTTTCACATGTCATGTGTTCACATGCGAGAGCTGCAGCGCTCATGTGGCGCATCAAGTACCTGCTTCCACTCGAGGTCCCTTTGATTCTGCGCGGAGTCAACCAAGGCCGGGCACACCACCCGTCCGCCGAGGACCGTGCAAAGCGCGGCGCGCGCTTGAGCCATCAGACCCGATCCACCGAGGCCAATGGAGGATGGCCTCTGGTAAACCCTGCATCAAGTTGGCTGTGGCTCAATAACTGGTACTCAAATGCCAGCTTGGCAAATGGAACCAAAGACTAAAACCTGTGTAAGCCTAGCTATTTGAATTTTGAGCCACACCCACTTCTTACCCAAAACCTTTGGAATGGAACACATTGCGTCAGCCAGCCAAAGCAGCCTACCATAGTCACCACAACAAGAGACGGCTGTTGCCAGGCTTGCACAAAAAAGGATTCAATGACTCCAGCGTCCTTTGTGGCAACTCGGGCGAGCGTTGGGCCCGCACGAACAATGTTCAAAACTAAACAAGAGGCAGCGCTGCATGCATTCCCATCTTCGGGACGCATCATTTCAGCCATGATGTCGATGCTCCAACTGCATCAAGCCATATTCAGGCAAATTCCAGCACTCAGGAAGCACAACATCAAAGGAATCATCGCTCATTTCCTGGGCAACTCCAACCTGCCACGGATGTCTGTCTCTCGGTATTAACTTAGATCCAGCCAGACAAGGGCCCGTTTAAGGAAATAAACAAAAACACGATGGGGCAACTGGACTGGTGCCTTTTGGGAACAATTCAAAAATCCCCCCCGCGCGCGAAATGTAAAATGCCCAAAAGGCGCGCCAGATTCAATTCGGCCTTGGCTTAATTTGTTGCACTCCATGCAGGAAATCCTTGCCTTTTGGAGGAACGCCCTTCCCCAGGTCGATGAATCCGGGATTGCCATTGAATGGAAGGCAAACTCTATGGGCCTAGCCGGATTGCCGCCTTTCTGCTTTAGCCAGTCTCGCTCATGCGCCTTGCCAAGTCAAAGCGGCCAACACACGGATAAACTCGAGAGGACTCTGTCGACTCTCAGAGTTACAAATCTACAAGGCGTCGGCGGTGGTCCTTTGGCGATGAGTCCTTTCTTGATTGAGTCAAACCGCTTGGTATCTTTAAGAGGAAACCGTGCTCCAGATGAACACGGGGACCCAATAAACTTGTCCGTCTTCAAAGGACCAGACTCGCCAGAGCAAGGAAGCGAGGTCTAAGAAACGCCTCTCAAAATTGCGGGAAGAACTCAACCGCTCTCAAATATGGGACAGCCGCAAAGGGACTCCCTTCAAGCGGGTTGGTCAGAACAAAAACAACCAAACTTTTTGAAATCCGCCTTCCCGCAAAGAATGCATTCCCCCCAGAAAAAAGAGCCCTATGAACCACGCCGTGGTTCCTTCCCAAAATTTGTGTTGAGAACCAGCGAGCTTCGAGGTCGGAGGAACACCCTTCCCAACCCTTGAACCTGTGGATTGCTGGTTCGGACTTTCGTCTCTATGGGATGAGAAGGGAGTTTCTTCGAGGTTTGCCCGGCGCCCATCTCAGCAGGCAGTGGCGGCTTTAAAGCTGCGCTGGATACGCCGGGCCGCCGCCACCAGGGGCGTACCGTCCGGCTTCGGCAGACCCCCGGCCTGGCGCCAGCGGTTGTTTTGCGTTGTTTGGTGTTTGATGTTGTTTCGTTGTTTCTGCTGCTGCTGCCGCCGCTGCTGCTGCTGCCGCCGCTGCTGCTGTTGTTGCTGTTGTTGCTGTTGTTGCTGTTGTTGCTGTTGTTGCTTCTGCTAGAGGGAGGTGCAACAAAATGCAACACAATGGAGGTTCAACCAAAAAACCACATTGTTTTCTGAGGCGGGGGGTGGAGACACCGACCCGCTTCGCCCGAACTTTCGGCCGATTCGTTGGCGCGGCGCCGAACTCGAACTTGGGCGAGGCCTCGAAGCGGTGGGCCAACATCTTCAGCGCCCGCAGGGCGAGGCGCGCTTGGTGGAGGGTCTGCCTCGGCCACAACACCATGAAGCATATGTCTAGGGGTTGATTCCTTGTCCATTCTTTTCAGCCCTCGTTCTTTCCAAAAACCGGCCGGTTTGCCTCGGTTTCCGGAGGCTTTCTAGAAAGAAGGATCTCTGGAAAGAATGGGGAAGGTACGCCCAGAATATGGGTGTGGGTCAAAGATAGGCAACCCCAACATGGAACGCTAAATGCAAACAAGGACCAAGACATGCGGTCCCCTGTCGGTTGAATTTTGACCCAGACCCATATACACCATTTTGGAATGGTTTACTTGGGAACTAAAGGAAACCCAGCCTACTTTGGGACATACCCATATTTTGACATGTGTCTGAAGTGAAGGGTCACTCTGCTTGTGTTTGTACCTAGGTTGTAATCATGCTGGATAACTGGGGCTGGCGCCGGAACCTAGTTGTGATCTACTCCAAAAGGACCCCGCTTGGGGGAACCCAAAGGGTCAATTTCCTCAAAAGAAATCCGCAGGGTTTAACAGTGCCTTGTCTGTTCCTCAGCTAGCTGGGACAGGTGTGGTTGGCCCCTGACAACTAAGGTTCGGACCGCTTTGTAGCTGGGTACGGCAGGTAGCTCACCGTTACATGGACACCCAACAATGGGTGGGCATCCCTTTTCGCCCCTTTTAAAACTATTGAACAATCTCAACAAGGGTGACAACCAATTTTGTAAGCATCTTAATCGGGTGTTCAATGGGGGGATCTGAAAAAAACTGCCCCCTTTTGGTTTCCTTCTCTACGGACACTTGTTGTTTATGCTCACGGCGACGTTAGACACGCGGGAGGATTCTTCGTTTTTTCATGTTCATGACTTCTTCACAAACAAGCTGACGTAGCACGATTGACTTCGATTCATATTACTGCCAGTGGCGGGTCGCGTTTACCGCCACCCGCGCAAGAGCGCTCGTAGCACGCTTGATTACGATTTATATTTACCGCCAGTGGCAGGTCGCGTTTACCAACACCCCGCAAGAGCCGCCAACAGCTGCGCCGTAAACCCTAAACCTTAAACCCCAAACCCTGAACACAAAACCGGCCAAATGATAAGCACACCCGCTCAAGTGCACCGCACAGCACTGCACACACGCCAGCCAAATGATAAGCACACCCGCTCAAGTGCACCCGCACAGCACTGCACACACGCCAGCCAAATGATAAGCACGCCCGCTCAAGTGCACCCGCACAGCACTGCACACACGCCAGCCAAATTATAAGCACACCCGCTCAAGTGCACCCGCACAGCACTGCACACATGCCAGCCAAACGATAAGCACACCCGCTCAAGTGCACCCGCACAGCACTGCACACACGCCAGCCAAATGATAAGCACACTCGCTCAAGTGCACCCGCAAAGCCAGATAAGCTCTAAGAGTGCTAAGTCTGGCCTGCTGAATCCGCAGGTGTGGCAGTGGGCGTACAGCTTCCAATTCAGATACAATGCTGGACCGGACCTGTGGCCTAAGGTTCCAGAGATCCTCAAAGCAGCAAGGCGGCCCGCGTGGCTAACGTCGCCGTGACCTTGTTTATCTTGCAGCGCCAAACCAAAACACAGACACCAACAAGGTGATTGCAAATCGACTCGTGCTCACCATACTCCGCCCCAAGCCTCGCCCCAAAACAAGCCGAGTTGGGGGGAGCCATTGCAGCCTAACAGTGACTAGATGTGGCCAGCAGTGATTACCATCCAGCACCATTGGCCACAAACTTCCCTCTTCCCCCCAAACTTCCAAAACTGCCAACACCTTCCCCACCCCCAGCCCCCCACACCCCCCCACCCCCAACCCCTCACCCCAGCCCCCAACCCCTCACCCCGCCCCCTCCTCCTACCCCCAGCCCCCTCCTCCCACCCCCAGCCCCTCCTCCCCATCCCCCGCCCCACGGGCCTCGCCAAAGAGGAGTGGCAGCCCTCGTCCCGCACAAAGGCCTCGAAGACCTCGCCATCCGCCAGCACCGCCGCCAGCTCACCGAAGAGGTGCCTTCGAAAAGCCGAGGACATGGGCTTCCATTTGGTTAAGACCCCTGGAAAAATATTTTATTTTATTTTAAATGTCCAGTAGAGATAAATTCCCTTTAACACCAACAGGGGAAAATAATAATAATAATAAATATTCTGAAGCAAATCGAAGTGAACTACTGTGGATGGTTGCAAATTCCATTTCGCACTTGGGATAGATGAAAACCCCATAAATCATGGGAAGAACCACCTACAAACTGGTGCAGGATTTTGTCCATCCACAGTACGGCGGACAAAATCCATTAGGTGTTTCTCAAAATTGGGTTCGGACCAATTCCTCCAGGTAGGTGGTTTCCTTTTTTGGCTTCCCTGTAAAGACATCCATTTTGAGAACCCCCCATATCCACCATTTTGGGGGATACAAAGGGGTGTGACAAGAGCACCTGCCGTAGATGGTTGTGAAATCCGTAGTATCACAACTTATATCCCGGATCAAAAGAGTAAACTTGACCTTATACATATGTATATATATATATATATACTACCCCCCCCCCTTCCAACCCCCCCCCCCTTCCACCCCCCCCCCCCCCCCCGCGGAGGGCCCGCGCACTTGCTATATATATGTATATATATATATATGTATATGCTCACACCCCGCCTGATCCACTTTTCCTCCTTTGCACATCTTCCATTTCCATTTTTGCAAATCTACTCAAAAGCTACGATCCAATGGCTTTGCACATCTGCTCATTTGCCATCTTCCACCTTTTCAAATCTGCTCCACTACTGTCCATTACCTTTCCACGTGCTTGTCAAACGGCAATTAATGTTGATTAAAATTATGCTTGGAAAGATTTTCCTACTTAAATTAGCACTCAGCACAGACTTGTAGTTTCCATTTACATAGCAATTATCTTTGATTAAAGTCCGATTTGGAAACTACTTCCTACTTCAATCCTCAAGACATTCAACTACACATGTGTTGTTCTTCAATTCTATTGCAATTCTAGTTAGATGTTGATTTAAATCATATGTAAGGGATTTAGATTCACATTCTCATTGATACAGCAAACATATTAGAACTATTCCCTTACTACGTTCTATTCATGGACAGGATGCTTTACTCAGTTTTCAGCTGAAGATAGAAGTCTAATGGAACTCGTGCCTTATCAAATTCTAGCACGTTCTGCTAGTTGGTGTTAGTTCACATCATGTATGGAAAGGGCTTCTCCTTTCCATTCTCCTTCAACATAGAAATCCTCATAGGCGTTCTTCCTTTAAGCACTGATTAAACCTCAATTGAGTCACAATCAAAACCTGGTATTAGAATGGTCGTAATCCCAGAACCATGTAAAGAATTTAGAAGGCGGCCGCGACTATTTCTGGCAGGGACTGCCCTGACTAATCTTCATCTACCCAGGTTTTGATTGTGGCTCAATTGGAATCCAATTTGGTATAAGGAGCCCTATAGGGAGTTCTAAAGGGAAGCTTTTTGCAGAGCTTTAACAGGAGCTGCAGAAGCAGCCCCATAAGCTGCTTTTCAAGGAGTAGAAGGAGCTTTATAGGAACTTTAACATCTGCATTACAAGCTGTATAAGGAGCCTTCTATGCAGCTTGGCAATGACCCTTACAAAGAGCTTTATCATGAGCCTCAAAAAGGACCTGTACAAGCATCTTTTGCAAGGAATTATACAAGGAGCCTTTAAGGAGCCTTAAACAGAGCTTTATGATGAGTCGCGTAAGGCTTTATTTGACGCCTCATTCAAACAGTCTTATAAACAGCCAAGTGAGCTTCAAAAGGAGCTTTGCAAGCAGCTTTATAAGGAATAGCGATCCTTATACGGAGCCATGACATAGAAGAGCTGTACAAGGAGCTTCAGAGTCTTTCAAGCAGCTTTACAGGAGCCTTATGAGGAGCATACGGAGCCTTGTACAATGAGGCTTCTAAGGAGTGTTTGTAAGAAGCTGTATCAGGAGCCTCCATGAAGGAGCCTGCAAAAGAGCTGTATCAGGAGCTTGAAAAGGAGTGTCGAATTCCAATTTAACATTGAACATCTAGTTCACTGGTCACACCCCTGTGGCTCCAAGATGGTTTGATCATGCCAGTACCAAACCTGCCCAAAACAGGGATATGCCAAGAAAACAAAGAACATTGTTGGAAAACCAAGCAATACACAACAAAACTCGAGAAAACAAGAAAACACAACCCAGAGGCGAAGCATTGGTTCTTGCCAAAAGGTTGTGTTCTTGGTGGTCTTCCCGTGTTCTGTTGTTTGACTTTCCGTGAGTTTTGTTGGGTTGTTCAGCTCTGTCCCTTCAAACAAACAAAAACAACAATAACTAGGGGTCCTCATGAAGAAGGGCCCCAAACCAGAAAAACCAGAGGAAAACAAAATCCTCATGAAGAAGGGCCCCAAAAACCAGAAAACAACCGGAGAAAAAAACGGAAAACCAGGGTCTAGGAGACAGATAATGGAGGTCACCCTTCTTCTGCAGGACTCTGGTTTTTTGGCTTGCTGGTTGTTCTGGTTGTTCTGGTTTGACGCCCCCCTTCAGAAGATCTTGTTTTCTTCCTCTTCCATAAGACCTTGGTTCTTTCCTCTTCCACAAGACCCTGTTTTTCTTCGACCTTTCAGCGTCCTCCCCCTGTTGTTGAGCTTTTTTTGGCCCGGAAGGGGTCCCGGGGGAGGGGGTACCATATATATATATATATGTAATATACAAATGTGTCGATGTGATGTTCCCAACAACAATGGTTGGGATAATAAGCTCATAATAAAGGGGAATCATATTTGGATATACTATGATTGGGACAATTTTGCCCTGTATGTACGGAACCACCTCAGAGCACTCACGAATGTGACAAATCACTGTTTGGGTAAACGCCTCCCCACGTTTCTTTGGCCCAATTATCCCGTGGATTCCACCACTGAAATCCCATTTGCCGGGTTCCAGAATGTTTCCCTCAGATTTCCCAGTTTCAATCACCACCCGGCTCCTTCATACGCAGCAACCGAACCTCAAGTGGATAAAAAAGCATTGCGCCCCTCAACATCACCCCAGACCTTTCATTGCTCAGCTCCCCAAGTTGGGGGAGTTAAGAAAACAGAACCCCAAACCATACTGTGGATGGACAAAATCCTGCAGCACTTGGAAACCATGGGAAACCATTGTTTGTTGGTATTTACACGGGAATCATCCTTCCAGCGTCTCCCATCAACAGTACCTCCCATCCCCATCCGCCCCATCCGACCCATCCGCCCCATCCGCCCCATCCGCCCCGTCCGCCCCATCCCATCCGCCCCATCCCATCCGCCCATCCCATCCGCCCCATCCGCCCCATCCGCCCCATCCGCCCCATCCGCCCCATCCGCCCCATCCCATCCGCCCCATCCCATCTGCCCCATCCCATCCGCCCCATCCGCCCCATCCGCCCCATCCGCCCCATCTGCCCCATCCGCCCCATCCGCCCCATCCGACCTATCCGACCCATCCGCCCCATCCGCCCCAGCCCCTTCCGCCCCATCCGACCCATCCGCCCCATCTGCCCCATCCGCCCCATCCGCCCCATCCGACCCATCCGCCCCATCCGCCCCATCCGCTCCATCCGCCCATCCGCCCATTCGCCCCATCCGCCCCATTCGCCCCATCCGACCCATCCGCCCCATCCGCCCCATCCGCTCCACCCATCCGCCCCATCCGCCCCATCCGCCCCATCCGACCCATCCGCCCCCATCCGCCCCATCCCCCATCCGCCCCATCCGCCCCATCCGACCCATCCCATCCGCCCCATCCCATCCGCCCCATCCCATCCGCCCCATCCCATCCGCCCCATCCCATCCACCCCATCCCATCCGCCCCATCCCATCTGCCCCATCCCATCCGCCCCATCCGCCCCATCCGCCCCATCCGCCCCATCTGCCCCATCCGCCCCATCCGCCCCATCCGACCCATCCGACCCATCCGCCCCATCCGCCCCAGCCCCTTCCGCCCCATCCGACCCATCCGCCCCATCGGCCCCATCCGCCCCATCCGCCCCATCCGACCCATCCGCCCCATCCGCCCCATCCGCTCCATCCGCCCATCCGCCCATTCGCCCCATCCGCCCCATCCGCCCCATCCGACCCATCCGCCCCATCCGCCCCATCCGCTCCATCCGCCCATCCGCCCATTCGCCCCATCCGCCCCATCCGCCCCATCCGCCCCATCCGCCCCATCCGCCCCATCCGACCCATCCGCCCCCATCCGCCCCATCCCCCATCCGCCCCATCCGCCCCATCCGACCCATCCGCCCCATCCGCACCCCACCGACCCCCGAGACCCAACGACCCAACGACCCAACCGAGTCGAGCCGAGGTGCGAGGCGTCTCGCCAGGCGGAGCGCAGCTGCGCGTGGCCCAGGTCCCGCGCCGCCAGGTTCTTGGCCTCGGAGCGGTGGAGTTGAGCGTCCGAAACCAAGGGATGGGGAGGGGTTTCAAAACAAAGGGAGGGAGGGGAGGGGAGGGGAGGGGAGGGAAGGGGAGGGAGGGAGGAGGGAGGGGAGGGGGAGGGGAGGGGAGGGGAGGGGAGGGGAGGGGAGGGGAGGAGAGGAGAGGGGAGGGAGGGAGGGAGGGGAGGGACTTGGTAGAGGGAGGGAGGGGTTTTCTCAGGCGCGGGAAGGGGCAGGGGTTGGGAACTTCTTGTTGTTGCAGGTGGTTTGGTGTGGTTTGGTGTGGTTTGGTGTGGTTTGGTGTGGTTTGGTGTGGTTTGGTGTGGTTTGGTGTGGTTGTTGGGTGGTCTCGTTTTGTTGGACTCGCCTTTTGGCTTCGAAAGGAAACCAACCGGAAGCCAGCAACCTGGAAACCAGCAGGGGCAAACAAAAGCCAATCCAGAAGATGCCGGCTCCTGTTCGACCCTTGTTTCTCAAATCCACCGGCCCATTCGACCCCATCCGACCCCATTCGACCCGGTTGCAAACAATCAACTGTTGCTGCAAAGGGAAACAAAGGAAACCTCAGAGAGAATCTCAGGAAAGGTCACCTCAAGTTCTCTTCTGGGTTTCCCATTCATGTCCTTTTTGGGTGGTTTCCTCTCACGCAGGTCAGCTAAACATCGTTCAGAACCAAAGCCGCGCAAATCCCAGTGTTGGGGAGATGAGGCTGTCCCCCTGGCCTCCAGAGGAAAACCACCCCAACCACTGGACATTTATGGAGACCCGACGTGGAACAAAACAGCCAAAACCCAAGGAAACACACACCAAAATCCAAAGAAGAAGAAAAAAGAAAAAGAAAAAACATATAGTTGTTGTTTATCATTCTTTTAGATTACTCTTTTATATGTGTGTATACATATATATATATATATATATATTATTTTATTTCATTTCATTTTATTGTATATATATATATATAACAAACAAAAAAAACAACACAAAAAAAACGCCAGACGCCCCGAAAAACCGCCGCCGAGGCGCATAGCTGGTCTGCACCGCCCCCAGGTCCGTGCCGCAGGTCTCGTAGGCGGCGATGGCTTGCAGAGACGCTTGGAAGGCGCTCACCTCGCGGCGAAAACACGCGGGGAGCCATGCTTTTTCTTGGCCGGAAGCAGAGGACCCCAGCAAAAACATGCGTTTTTGCTTTTTTTGCTGCCTGGCTAGGGGAAAACAAAGGGACCCCCAAAAAGCAAAAAAACAAATAAACAGGGAGCTAATTCTGGGGAAGATTTGAGGATGCCACTTTGGGGTGGTGAACGTGGCAGATCCACTTTTGAGGATACCACTTTTGAGGATACCACTTTTTGAGGGTTGGCGCCAGTCACTTTTTGAGGATACCACTTTTGGGTGGTGAAGGGAAGCTAGGAGGACAACCACCATTTTTGGGGGGTCCCCTAAAAAAAGGACACCCAGATGTATTTGCGCCTCGGCTCGTTTTGGGTGCGCTACAACATAGGCAGATAGGCCCCTGGTGGTCCAACACGTGCTGACCTGTCTCATACAGGGCTTGCCTTTGTGACCCAAGTGTAAGCTCGTCTCTGCTTTGGATGGGAATTCAATCAAACTCTCGATGCTGCTGCGCCTAAGGCGTCCAAAAGCCTTCCAACGAATTTGAGGGCCAATGGATATGGCCATAAAATGCGGGCACTGCCATGCCAGGTCTGAAACTTGTCCCTTGCCCTGAGAAAGAAACAGCTGCGTTAAGTTAAAGGGTGTCTGTCTTTACTTTCCCCGCATTGCTTCGCAAAGTGCAAGGTCTCGTGGCTGACCCGACAGACTTTCGACCCCAAACAGGCAACACCAGTTGAATCTGCGAGCAGGTCCCCTAATACCCCTTTTTTGGTGTCAAAAGCAAACCAAAAGAGAACCCGCCGCCGCCAGCCTGGCAGTCCCCTAAAAATATACACACCCTGCTCACGAGTTTAAGGATGGACTCCCAGGTAAGACCCCCTCCTTGCTCCAACCGCCGAGGGGGGGGGGGGTAGTTTTTCAACCGGCCACCTCGCCTGCTGTTGTGCTGCATCGAGGTAGCCATCCACCTGCATCGAGTCATTGAGCTGGAAAATCCATGGTGCGATAGGTGGGGAATCTGGGAATGAACCCAGGAGTCCCCAAGGAAACCACCAGTTGGATGGCTTGTCTCGGGTCATTCCATGTTGTATTCCCTGCTGAGAACCAGCAAGAATATCCATCCTTGTGATAGCCATATGTCTCGTGCCCATAGCCTATGCTCGCTTTGAAGGAAATTGCCTTATAGTGGAAAAAGTGGCACAAACCCAGGGTTCCATCACAACAAAGAACCAACAATCAAAGAAAACCAGCCAAATACAGCCAGAAATAGAAAAACACAGGTGGCAGATGATTGCCCACCCAAGTTCCCGATTTCAGATGGATTCGTCATTTCTGGAAACACCTCCTATTAATTAATCCGATGCATGTCAAAATGTGGTTGCCCTCTTCCAAAAACTGTTTCCTATGATTCATATCTGGCGCAACCTTTTTCTTGGGCGATTAAAGGTACCCCACGGGCAGCCCTCGTGACTGCCACCATGAAGATCACGTGGGCGAACACCGAATGGTGGACACATACTGTATGGACGAAATCCGTTTCGCACCACCTGAGAAACGCTAAAATGATGAGTCCCCTGTAAATGCCAACAAACAATGGGTTTCTCATGGCTTCAAAGTGGTGCAGGATCTCGTCCATCCACGGTAGGATCAGCTTCTGCAACCAGCAAAGTCTCCAAGTGTTCATGGCACAAAACACCTCCTGCCCCACCCCCTTGTGAATCTGCCAGTGACTATTTAAGAGGGACAACAAGCTGACAAGACCTTGTTGCTCACCTTTACAGACCTGTTCTCAAAAACCATGCACGCTTGTCCCATCAGGTTTGGGACCGTTTTAGGGGGGTGTCCCGGTTTTAATAAAGAATCAGACCACTTTTTGAGGGGCCCCCACCCCCCATGAATAAACCGGGGCTGATTAAAACGAGGTCAACATTGGATGGGGGGCCACAAAACATGGTTTTAAGTCAGAATTAAACCACCAGGGAACCTCAAGTTTTGGTCCATGTTTCCACTTACCAGGGCAAGCCATTTGGGGTACCTATTCTTGACAACCACAGCCACATGGGTCCAACAGAATGGTCCGTTCGCAGCGGGAGCCGAGCCGACGCGCCTTGTTCCGCAGCTCCCACCAGATCTTGTCCACCTCCACCAGCGCACCGCGGGTCTCAGAGGAATGGCCACGAAGCTTCTGCACGAAGGCGCGGCTGGCATTGCTGTGCTCCTCGGGGCCCACGGCCGGGAAAGGACAACTAGGTCCTCCAGTAAAAAAGGTTCGAATAAGGGTACCAACTTCTTTGTTTTTCGGTAGTCTACTTTAGTAGGGGAACCCTCCCCAAAAAAAGGGTAAAAGGCACTACTGGGGGAGGACAAAGACACCAGCCATGTGGAATGTTACGAAGTCCGTTCGCACAAAATGAGTCACCATGGGAAGGAAACCGTAATGCTTAAGTTGGTCTTTGCGGGGGAATCGAATCGGAACGGGCTTCTGAACGGCGCGGAACGGATTTCGCCGCCGTGCTGCCGTATTTTGGGCTGGGCAGGACAACCCAACTCGAACCAAAACGCGCCTTGTAGACCCCCAAAGTCTGCAGCTGTCGCTGCGCCAAGCTCTGAAGTTGACTCGCCTCCCGCTGGATCTGCGCCCCCAGCGCCTGCATCTTGCCTCGGCCATCAGAATGAGTTTGTTGGGGGGGAACCGCCCACTCGGCAAGCTTCGAGAACGAGGCCCGACGAAAGGTGGCTCTGCGAAAGGAGGGGGCGTGTAGCCCCAGAAGCATGGCCATCCAGGCCCAAGTCAAGAAGCAGCTTTGCATTGGGTGGGCTGGGTGGGCAGCCAAAAGCTGCGTGAGCTCGCTTGCAAGTGCATGCAGGTTAATGCATGAGCGACGCAGCGCTTGGCACGCTGATTTCCTCAGCAACAGCCAGGTCCGTCAGCAAATGTAGCAGGATGCACGCGTGCCGCCCACACGGCAAGCTTTGAGAACGAGGCCCGACGAAAGGTGGCTCTGCGAAAGGAGGGTCCGCAGCAAAAGGTTGTTGAAGCGGTCGCAAAAAGGCCAAAGAAAGGACCGTTTTCGAAAGCCACACGGAGGTTTTGACAATTGAAGCGATCGCAGGGTGGATGGACCTCGTGTCTTCGGGGTTGGTGCTGCTTGCAACAAGGTCTCTGGTGCCCGCAGCACTCTGAAGCGTGGCATGAAGCGCTGCCAGCTCTCCCAGAGCCACCTGCGCTCAAAAAAGCGTGTGCCGGCAGGGCGGCCCGGACCCCCAAAAAACGTGATCGCACAGGCTGACTACACAAACCCTATACAGATAGCTAGATTGATAGATTGGACTGGATTCAGACTTAGGATCCATCGCCACAACCTAGTCTGCAGCTGGAAATCTGCGCACATACATGTAAAGCAACAATCTAGTCGACATGACTAGCCATCCGAAAGTCGCCCCGAACTTCGGTGAGCCCCAATGCTTTTGGTGGGCTCCCGTAACAAATTGACGATAGACCAGTGGGCTCGTTAGATCATGGTCATGGTTGTCTTAGAAGGAAGGCTACTCGGCGGAGCCACGAATGAAAGTGAAGGTTAGGGACACGTTTGATGCTTTACCATGCGCTTCGGGTAGACCTCTTCAACTGGCCAGGTTTTGACTATCACTCCCTTGTTGGGTCAAATGTCCGCCTGCTTTGCTGGCTTTTGCCAAAAAACTACCCAAAAACTCTCCAGGATCCTCCCAACACCCCTCCAAGCGGTGACCCCTTCCCAACCCAACCCATCCCCCCCCGCAGGCCAATCCCAAGGCCAAACCGGAGGCCCTGGCCGGCCTTGGCCCTGGTAGTGTTCACCGGCCCCTCCAGCCGCTCGCCCGCCGCGAACTTGGCCAAGGCCGCCTTCACGCTGTGCCGGCCCAGCGCCGAGCCGGCCGCGTCCGCGAAGCCGGTGATCTCCTGGCGAGCCACGGCCTTCTGATGGACGCAAAATCCGGACACCGCGCCACGGAATGAGTCACCATCATAGGTGTCCTTTTGGAAAAATAGATGGCCCTGGGTAATGGAATAAAATCCTATTTAGATTAGCGCCTTCTATTTTTGACCTTACTAACCTAAAAAGAACACCTATGAAAGGAAACCGCAACGTTTAAGTTGGTATTTACAGGGGGGAATCGCAGCAGAAGCCAGGGTGTCCGAACGGTGGTGCAGGAGTTTGCCCATCCACAGGCTCACTTCCTGGGTGGATGGATTCCAAAGATGGCCGTCCCAAAAACTACAAGGTCCAGGAACTTAGCAAAAAAAGTCCAGGAAGTCAAACCATGGAATGGGGAAGTCCAACTTAGGTCCGGGAAGTCCAGGAGTTTGCAGATAGGGATGGCCAAACCATGAGGGCCATAAGGGATGGATAGAACCCTATGCCGGGAAACCACCAACTGGTGCGAAGTGGAATTGGTCCACAGATTTAGTTTGGTGAGTGTCAAGAGTTCGGGCTTTCCGCTGGTTAGAAGCCTATATATATATATACACATTATACCGAATTATACCTCAGCTTTTGCCCCCCCAACCACATGACATCGGGGCTTCACTTTTGCCATCCTGCAGCATGGACTCGCTGAGCTGCTTGGCCTGCGCGGCAAGCGAGGCATGGTGGGCTCGCACTTGGCGGCTTCTCACTTCTCATTGAGTGGGTTGGCCAAAACAACCAAACTTGAGCCACAATCAAAACTCGGTACTAAGCTGGTCGTAATCCCAGAACTATGTAAAGAATTTAGAAGGCGGATATCCGCAGCTATTTCTGGTTGGGATCGTCCCTTACTAGCCTTCATCTACCCGGGTTTTGATTGTGACTCACTTGTTGTTTACCACCACATGCTGAGCGAGTATCATTCAGCCTCAAATAAGGAGGCACGCAGGCAACATGCTAGGAGACCTCTGGTGGACAAAGTCGATGCGACCACACAAGCGAAGGGCATCAACATAACACTGGTCGGAAGGGGAATCGCCCAGCGAGGCCATCTATGCTGAGAGGGAACGCGGGCTCTTTCTCTCTCAGCCAGTTACCCATGAGGTCTCACAGATACCCGCCACGCCGTCCCAGAAACGAACAAGTGTGGGTCACTCAAACAAAAGGTCCGAGTTGTTGACCCCAGACCCTGAAATATGTTCACCCAGCGGGTCAAAGAAGCGTCCTATCAAAAAGCCGTGTCCTTTTTTGAACAACCCTGCAACCCTCACATGGGTGCGAAGTGTCTTTCCACTGCAATGCCACTGACGGCCTTGACAAAACCTTCGGCTACGAGGCACATGGTTCCCCTGCCTTGCCTCACAGTGGGAACCAGACCACACCCCTAGTTTAGCGTTTCCTCTTTATTCCCCAATCCAAACGATCCCAACAATAATTAAGACATCCATAAGCCCGGAAAGCATCATGGAATCACTGCCGGAAACCGTGCTGGAAAGCCAAGTCATTCCGAAACAAGGCCTGTTGCTGGGGAAAACAAGTATATATCTCCATACCCATCTGGAACCCTTGCACTTCGTTCACAGACTCGACCATTTCCACACAAGCAACCAGTTGCGCCCATGGACAGCCGCACTTGCCGCCATGGGCCGCCGATTCCCCACCCGCCCGTGAGTAAACGGTTTGGCTTGTCAACCCTCACATCCCAGATGTGAAATCAGCCGTTGCAGCGGTTCATGTGGGTGTGCCTGTTTTGGGGGAACCCCAACCAAAAGGAAAATCCTTTGGGGAGTGCCCTAAAAAAAGACACACCCATGTTTGCGCCAATCCGCAACCCATCCACATAAGCCGTGATACTTCGCCAAGCCGGGTCATTGAGGAAAATCCAGGAACCCTTTCTCGGAGCACCTTGAAGGCAGACCCAAAAGCTTGAGGAGAACACGGCCCAAAGAAATCAACCTAATCGAGTCGTTCCTTTCCCCTCAAGCGGGTTTGTCCCAAGGGAACCCTCAAAATCTTGGGCTTTCAGTTTGCTTCCCTCTAAAAAGCCAACCAAAAAGGGGTTCCCTAAAAGAAAGACAAACAAGAACCAAGAAGGGGGTCCTTCTAAAACACCGACCAAGAAGGGTTCCCCCCCCCCACCCAAAAAAAGACAAACCTAGCTCGACCAAGAAGGGTTCCCCCTCCCCCCCACCCCAAAAAAAAAACATCTCGACCAAGAAGGGTTCCCCCTGCCCCCCACCAAAAAAAGAAGACAAACCCAGCTCGACCAAGAAGGGTTCCCCCTCCCCCCCACCCAAACAAAAAACAAACAGCTCGACCAAGAAGGGTTCCCCCTGCCCCCCACCAAAAAAAGAAGACAAACCCAGCTCGACCAAGAAGGGTTCCCCCGCCCCCCCCCCCCCAAACAACAAAAAACAAACAGCTCGGTTGGCCTCCACAAGGGCGGCAGTGTTGGCAGTGGTCAAGGCGTCTTGCACCAGCTGGATGCGGATGCCGAGCCGGTCCTGGCGCGGACCAAGGGGCAAAACAACCCCCAAGGAGCCCCTACACAAACAAACAGCCAACCAACCAACCAACCAACCAAACAACTAATTAAATAACCAAATAACTAAATAACCAAACAAACAAACAAACAAACAAACAAACAAACAAACAAACAAACAAGCAAGCAAGCAAGCAAGCAAGCAAGCAAGCAAGCCACCAACCAAACGAACAAACGAACAAACAAACAAACAAACAAACAAACCAAACAACTTGAGCCGTCTATTTGAGCCAACAACAGAAACTACAAAATGTTGAACTACCAAGAAATAACAGGGAGCCATGCACAAATAACTTGCAGCCGCCCCAAAAAAAGGTCCAGCCCCGGAAAAGAAGGCAAGACGACCCAAACCAAACCAAAGAAAAAAGGAAGCACCCACATAGGGCTCAAAGAACATGACCTGAACTGCCCGTCGAAGAATTTGAACACCCCCGAAAAAAGGAAAAAACACAACCAAACAAAATATCCAAAAAGGAATTGAACCCCTCAAAAAGTGCTTAAACCAGCACAAACATATTTCACCACAACAAACAACCTACCCTCCAACAAGTGGCAATGTAAAACATCACTAGATGCTGTTTAAGATAGCCCTTCATTCCCCTCACAGACCCACATCCAAAACCAAAACCTCCTCTGGCTTACTCAGGGGACAGTTTTTTGCTGGTTGAGCAAGAGAACTGGAAAACTGGACAAAAGGGCTTCGTCAAATTTGGCGATGAAGAGTCTACCTCAGCCCAAAACCCACATGTCTCCTCGATGGTGTCCATCTTGGCCGCCAGCCACCCAGTCTCAGCCCGGTTCGCTGCAACGGACCATTCCACCTCGAACAGCGGCTTCAATTCGAGGCAAGAAACGTGCCCAAAGGGATACAAGTATCTTAGTGTGTACACGTGCAGGTGTATAGATACATAAGAAGAAACAAACTAATCATGATGAACATTTCAAGAAGCAAAAAGCATTACGAACAAGCAAATGAATAGGCAAGCACAAACAAAACACATACAGTACATACTTGAATAGACAAAATTGAAATTGGGTAAGTGTACGCGTGCGTGCAGATATGAGCAGCATCCGGGAACACTTGGACGGTCAGGGGAGCATAGTCCGCTGGTGTGTGTGTGTGTGTGCGTGCGGCTGGTCTGCGTGCGTGCGTGCGTGCGTGCGTGGGTGGGTGGGCGGGTGGGGGGTGGGTGGGTGGCGGTCTGTCTGTTTGTCTGTGTGTGTCTGTGTAAATGCGTGTGTGCGTGTGTGCGTGTGTGCGTGTGTGCGTGCGTGCGTGTGCGTGCGTGTGCGTGCGTGTGCGTGCGTGTGCGTGCGTGTGCGTGCGTGTGGGTGCGTGTGGGTGCGTGCGTGCGTGTGTGCGTGTGTGCGTGTGTGCGTGTGTGCGTGTGTGCGTGTGTGCGTGTGTGCGTGTCTGCGTGTCTGCGTGTGTGCGTGTGTGCGTGTGTGCGTGTGTGAGTGGGTGCGTGGGTGCGTGGGTGCGTGGGTGCGTGTGTGCGTGTGTGCGTGTCTGCGTGTGTCTGCGTGTGTCTGCGTGTGTGTGTGTGTGCGTGTGTGTGTGTGTGTGTGTGTGCGTGTGTGTGCGTGTGTGTGTGTGTGTGTGTGCGGAGTGACAGAATGCCCTGTCACCACCCTTTCTATTTCGCAGCAGGGGCGTGCAGCACCTTTGGCATACTGCACGCAATGAAGCTACTGCCAAAGGTGGGAAGGGTGTCCAGACGTGGACACCTGTACCTGCGTCGTGATGTTGCTGAAAGTCCTTTTGGTCCCCTCCCTGAACCGCCGTTGTTTTGTGTTTCCCTGTTAAAGTACCTACAGGGAAGCCAAGTGCATTGCGAGCCGAAACTCATCGTACTCGAGACTTGTCGGTTGTACTCGAGACTCATCAGTTGTACTCGAAAGATTAGCACTCTCCTTCTGGAGTTCAAGTGTGTACACCCCATTCGTGGGGAATCCTCGGGTGTACCCATTGTGTGACCCCGGGCCGGCTCTGTCGGAAAATTTGACCTCAACGTGCGTATCATAGAACAGCGGAATTTCACATTTAACCAGGAACGAGGTTTCACTAAGGGAAGACAGCTGTCAGATCATAGCGACGTCTCACCATAGCTGCTGAAGGCTGCTGACTTGAATCGCATTGGCTTGCATTTTGTTGGATTCGTTGCTCTTACCTAGCTGCTGATGGCTGCTGACTTGAACTTGCATTGACCTGCATTTTGTCGGATTCGTTTCTATCACCATTGCTGCTGATGGCCGCTGACTTGAACTTGCATTGACTTGCTACTGATCGCCGCTGACTTGAACTTGCATTGACTTGCATTTTGTCGGATTCGTTTCTCTCAAGGTGGAAGTGTGCAAATTCCGATTTAGTTGCGTCACCATGTCTCGACGTGATGATCGTGACAGATCCAGGACTCGACGCAGACGTGATCGGAGTCCTTCCCCTCAAGCTCGTAAAGCACACCGACGCGAACACAATGACAACCAGGTCTCGGAGAACATGGATTGGAACAACTTGGTTTCATGGCAACACAACTCCGGCTACAACGCTGCCAACAACTTTCCGATGGTGCCTACCAACTTTCAATCGACTCACAACCCCACACAGCAATTCCAATACCCGGCGATCAACTACATGATGCCGATCCCTCCTGAACCCACGCCATCCAAGTTCATGCCACCAATGATGCCACCACCGGTCACTACCTCCCAACACCTACACCTTCACCTGGACCTCCTACAGCTCTACCGGTTCGTCCTCAGAAAGCCTGGCTTACTCCCTCGCCTGACTGGACACCTGCAGACGGCATGTTTGATGTCAACCAACTCTACAACTTTAGCCTGCCCATGACCGTTGCCAACACTCCACATGGCAACCTTCGCGACATGTCAGGCATGGATATTAGGGACGTACGCCTGGTTCAGGTTATCCCCGGGGGCCTCACCAACTGGCTACTCAGGCCGTTTGCACACGGCCGATTCGTGACGTGGGAAGGCTTTCGCACCCGCACTGAGGCCTTACTTTGGAGTACCTGCTCCAAATTACTACGAAGATCGCAGTCACTCAACCTGCTCACCCTGGACAAGGACCTTGCCAACACGCTGGGTCTCAACATTGATGACTTCAATCAGCGCATCAAGGTCCACGACCATTTGGCCAACCTGGTACTTCAATTTCTTCAACAACATCACACCTCTCTCGCACCTGCTGCCCAGGATGATGACATGGTCAAGAAGTTCAATGATTTGAATCGTGCGCATGAACTTCTCCAAGCTCAGTATTCCGCATCACTTCGCGCATCGACCTCGCCCACGATGACAAATCAGAAAGATGATGCAGAGTTGGTCACACCGCCACCGGTCAACCACACACCATCCTCGTCACCTGCCAGCTCCCTTCCCACAGCCAGCGCGGCCGCCCTGGATGGCAAGTCGTTTGATAGCGTGGTGCAACCACGGATCATGCAGTCTCTTCACGGAGTGTCGTCACCGCCGTCCAAACCGGCGGCGTCACAGTTGCTCACCATGCACAGCACGCCGGATGAAGTTGTCAAGTACTACACATGGACCAGTGACCAACCTCGCCTTTTCCTCAAGCAAGCACCCACAACAACCACTTTGGCGTCGCTGGTTAAGTGGGCCAATCACCCGTCCCGGCTCAACGGCAACAAGTCATTAGATTCTATGGCGACGCAGCTTCTTCAGGCCAGGCAGCGCATGCCGAAGGGCGATGCGCCCACACTCGGTGCAATGGCAGCATTATGGGGTCTTGAACCCGGGTACCTTACCAAACTCACCGAGAAGGCATTGAGTCACCTCATCGTGACCGCTCGCCTGCTTTGTGGATGAGAAGGCATCATTTCGACCTTCGATCTCATATGAGCCCGGAGCGGCAACAATGTCACGGATAAGTCCAGGTGAAAATTCGTCCGTCAAGTGTTTGCGTTGCACATGATTGATCTTGTACTTGCTTGTTCTTGCGTTGCCTCTTGTGTGATTGTCTGAGATGCTTGTATTTATGTCGCCGCCTTGTGGTAGATTTCGTTGGTTGCATCTCACCATGTTGGATGAACTTCGCCACTGCGGAATCTATGATGATGTTGCACAATGGCAGTCGCTGGACGACCTTCTGCACTCGTTGACTACATTCTCGACGTGCTGGCATTACTGTGTCCCTGGACTACCACCACCGTCGATTCCACTTGAGGAGTACGAATCCATCACACAATTGCCGTGGCTGGGTCTCATCCTCGAGGTCTTAGTTGTGGTCCGGATAGCCCTCCAGATTCCGAATTGCGCCATGTCCAACTCTCAGCACACCGTGGCCAACAGGTATGAACTTCACAAATGTCGGTGCGCTGCCTATTTATTGATCAGTTTGTCTCATTTCACAGGATCACGGCTACCTCCCGCCGTTCTTCGAAGTCCTTCACTTCTACAAGACTTCTCTCTTGTGTGAAATCATGCACTCGACTTTCGCTGACTCGCGACATCTACGCTCATTGCGGGCGCGATTTCCTGACCTCTACGACTTCATACATGATCCAGGTCATCACCAACAACCGTGCGTCTACATTCGACTTTCCCCCTGGCACACACCATACTATGTTGGGGCGACTGATCAGGATGTTCTACGTCGTGAACACTCACGCAGTCGCAAATTTCTACAACTACTTCGTGGACGGCATGCCTTCTTTGAACCAGCGCTTCACTACTGGAAACGATCCAATACTTACTGGCTCTTCTGTGCTGTACCAGTGGAAATCAGACTTCCAGTTTCCTCGGTGTGGGTTCAAGAAAGCAAATGGCAATACCTGCTACGCCCGCATTTGAATGCGCCCTGGGTACACAGAATCTTGCGCAAGGTTGGCTTCCGGGAACATCTTGTAGATTTTCGACGCCACTCATTGTCGACGCCCACTTCCATCGGCTTGCACAAGCGCTTTCGACGACGACTACATCCGGATCTCCAACGGCAACTACGACCTGACACCCTAGATGACATTCAAGCCCACTACTCGATCCTCTATCAGCTGGGATCGAATACAGGAGCGTCGTTCCAAGTCATGCGTGACCTACTGTCAGCCGCTTTCCCTCCCACTCAGCTGTACTACTTATTGCGGCTCGCAGTATTTGTCAACGAACCCTTCCGCTCCAAGGCCCAGAAGCTACTCGCCCAGGTACTGCGCAAACGACGGCTGCAACCACCCTCCACTCTGACACAGCTACTTTTGCCGCCGCTGCATGTCCAAAATTGGAAAGCGCTACTTGGCACATGGTTACAAAACTGGATTGCTTCCCATCGGGATCTGTTCCCTTCTCTTTTCATTCCAAAGATCCGGGTTGTGGAAACCCGCAGCGCCACATTGGGCGACAAGATATACAACTATCGCACATGGCAGCGTAAATGGACGCCTGACACATCCTTTCCGTGTCGCTGTTTAGACATCGATGACCACCATCTACTCCGTGCACATGGTCACGCAGTAATGGTGGATGACTTTTCTCGCATCAATGCGGACATCAACGTGGAGATCATGGCCGCCTCAATGAAGGATCAGTTTTTCGGTGATGTCGACCTATTGCATCAACGTTACACCACGCAACTTCGCAAACTCGCTCGACGCTGGCATGTACATGGTTCCGATCTACTTCCAGATCTACAACCTGTCGTGGCTCAGTTAATGGAGACCCATCGGATCAACCTCCAAGATCAGGCTTATTGGTCATCGGCATCGTTGCAACGCACTGTGGCCTCTTTGTCTTCATGGGTAGTTATCCCAGCGGATCATTTTCCCTCCCGTGCACATGTAGTGTG